GATCCAAGTTTAGTATTTCTGTTTGTTTAAATTTTATGCATCATCGTCATCATACTGTAGAAGCAAAAGAAAGAAGAAGAAAAAAGATCACCTTCAAATATCCAGTAATCCATAAAAGTTTTATGTTTCTGTCTGCAGCTGAACAATCTGTTGTTTGTCTTTCAGTCAACTGTGAGGTCCAAAGGATTACATGACCAAAACATAGTGATAACTCCTAAATGTGAAGAAAGTAAATTTGTTGTTATTTATGAGAAAAGTGACAATGAGTCAACAAGTGCCAGAATAAACTAAAGTAGCAGTGAATATTGTGAGAAAATAGCCTCTTGGTTAAAATGTTTAACTCCAAGCTCTGAAGCAGGTTCTATTGTGTTATATAGAGAATAAATATTCAGTATTATACTCTAGTTAAGGGTAATGGCTGAAAGGGTGGCATATGTTATAATGCACAAATACAGAGTTCTTCAAAATCAGCAAACAGAAGTGAGTTGAGACTGAAATTCAAAATTGTTTCAACGTGCAGGCTGGCCTCGCCTACATTCACCCACAATGCACCTCAGTCTGCGACAATCCTGTCAGAACAGTAGGGTTTGTTAATGCTAGTAGCGGCTAATGTAATCTTGAGCCGCAAGCCTCAAACAGAGGTGAGGAGCAGGCTACAGAGGTCTGGCAAGCTCACTTTTTTCAACTCCACACCCCCAGATTTTTTTGTTTCATTTTTTAACTTGTAGTCTTCTGCCCTAACAGACGCTGACTCAAGTGACATCACATGAGGCTATTTATCAACTTTTTTCACATATGCAGTAGCTCTCCTCAAGCTGTAAACAGACTTTGATGTGTAAAATCTGTGGAGTTCCCCTTTAATGCATAAGATACATCCCTTAGACATGCACACTGCATTTCTAACTTATAAAACTGTTCTCTTTTGAGATGTCAGATGTGGACAGAGGCGTCTGAGTGAGGGGTATTCAGCACTTCTGAGGCGGTGATTACCAATGTTCACATTCATGTTTCAGGAAGTCTTGTCCTAGGAATTTTTGAACAAATAAAAATAAAGGAAGGTGGTAATAGTTAGGGTATAATGAATGCAAGTTTATTTAAATAATACACTTTACTGAGTTTTTTTTTTTGCATCATTTCATCTCAGTCTGCACACTAACAGCTTGTCAAACTGTTAAAAGACAACATGATGGATCTCTGCTGAGACTTGAGTTAGACTGTGAGACCAGAGGATACAATTTGTTCCACATATTGTTTGTAAAAACTATAGGCAACCATAAGTGTTATTTTAACTAACTCAATTGAAACATGTTTGACCAGAAAGAAGCCTAATCCATCTACTCTTACATTTTGTAACGCAAACTAACACAAGTATCAAATTCTCATTCAGGTTGGATTATTCCCAGAAATGAATACAAACATGCCTATTCAGGTATAAATTTTTTTGAGATAGTTGATACATATCTTTAATGAACTCCAAACACTACAGATGAGGAACATTTGCAGCCCTTGCATGCTCGTAGTAAATACCACTCATTTCACTCAGAACGTGCATTACCTGCTTTCTGGACATGAAATCAGCACATTCATCCCAAAAGCTGTGAGGATCTTCTGTTCTATGCTTTTACTTTAGGATATTTGCTTATACAAGAGAGAAAATAGATTTCTTTTGACACATATGTTCAAGGAGTAGAGGAGGAGAAAAAAAAGTGTTGAACTGATTTCAATGTGAATTTTCTTGCCTCTAGTGTATATGTGTAATTACATGTGAATTGTACTGTAAATATGATATCTTTCACTTAATAGTTCTTAATGCATGAACAAAAACATGGCAGTTCGTAATACCAGCTAGCCTCACTGCTAATGGCATGGACAGCTTCTCTAGCATTGGCATACTTCTGCAAACGAAACCTAAAAAATGAAACACAAGAAATACATGGTGTGAACAAAATAATGGAGAAATCAATGCAAAGTCCTCTCACAGTGAAGGAGTTTCTGGTGGCTCTGAGCTTGTATTGGTTCACCTGTTCCCTTAAGAACAAGGCTAATGCTAATGCTGTTGAAGATTCCTGGAAATTACAGTATGCCTTGGTTCACTTTTTGCAAATGGGATGGCACCTTTTATGAAATTCTGTAGTCGGGCTTTCCCATTGAACATATCTGATCCTAGGATTTGCAGGAGATTTCTGCACAGTATAGCTGCAGCGTTTACCTCAGCCATCGTCCATGAATCTGCTAAAAAAATGAAGGGCATGATCGGCTTGCTGGCTTATAGAGGCTAGAGGAGCAGGATAGCCTTAAGAAGGCGAGTGGGATGTTCTTTCCTGTTCCTCAATAAGACAGTCATGTGTGCCCTTGAGCAAGGTACTTAGCCAATTGCCCAAGTGCAGCTGCTCACTTGCTAACAATAGAAGTCTATGTCTGTGCAGGCTAGCTCCCAGAAGTAAATATGTTTAGCTATGTTGAGGGTATTGATATAAAATTGTCCCCTGGATATATTTAAAGATAAACAACAGTTCCACAAATGTCCCTTGGTTCAGTGTAAGTAAATTACAGCCAGTATTGTTGTATGATTAAACTGTTTCAGTCAGTGCCATAGTTACCAGCTGGGATCTAGTATGATAAGGGTTATGAATCATATTTTTTTTGTTGTTGACTCCAGTCTTGTTTCATCTGGGATTACACCACTCCCCTCTCCCAAAAAAAAAAAAAAAAAAGATATGCATGACGGGCTGAACCTGTGGACACAAAACTGCTCTGGGAGTTATGAATAGCACTGAAGCTGACCACAACCATGCAACAGCAGAACAAGGCTAACAGACTC